CTCGGTAATTTTGTTCAATCATTCTTATTTCGTGAGCAGAATAGTAATTTTAATCCTTCTTCGACTATTTATGCATATTCTTATGGATTATCATTGCTTAAAACAGTTGTAGGAAACACTTCTAAGCTCCTAACATACGATATATTAGACGTATGAGTTAGACATTAATAAACTTTTACTCTGTTACCAAGTTTGTTCGGAAATTTCTAATTAATTTTTAATTATTCGTAACATCTGTTACACGTTCTCCGCATCACCGCTAGATTAAAAAAAAATATAATAATAATAATAATAAAATTTCATAGATATATTGTTTCTCTATGAGATAGCTATTAAAATATTTATTATATTCCTATTTAATTCATATAATTTTATCATATCTTTAAAAAAAATCGCTCGTTATTCCATAAAATTATCATGATAAACACATTTATATTTGAAATTATATAAAGTAAGCAGAGCATTGCTGTTTACCTATAGATTTATACGTAATATAGAATATTATATATTAAAAATCGATATATTTAAAACAGATCATCTTACTAATAATTCAACATGCAACAGAAACTAATAATACTTATTACCATGTTACAAAATTACTAATAACATAATAATTTATATACATAAAACTCCAATTCTTGAATTATTTTAAGCAAAAATTCTTTTTCTACGTTATTAATATATAAAAGTAATAAAGGCGAAATTAATTTCGTTCCGATATGCACCAATAAATCTCATTTCAAAACTTATATAACTGTATAGATTTATACTTATACTAAATTAATAAAGAGTATCATTAACATTACTGATGTTATATTTTAAGCTTAAGTTATTTATTTAATGGCATTACTAAGTATGTTGTGCTATGTCTTATAGCGAGAAAATTAAATAAAGTTTATGTAAAACGATGGGGAAAAAAACTAGAATGGCACACAATAGATACAAAATTCAAATTGATTTTTTTATGCCTACTAAGCACTAGTTTTTTTAGAATTATTTGTAAAATCTTTGTAAATTTTTTTTGTAGTATATTTTAGTAGATGTGAGAAACACGTGTCGGGTTTTCTCCACTTTCTTTGACGTGCTCTTCCAGAATTATTTGATTTTGATAGTTATTTAACTTTTGATATGAAAAATATAGTATTTTTTTCTCTATAAAATAACCATAACCCCTTAACGATATTCGAAATGTTATAATAATAGTCTTGTTTATCTTCCCCCTTTCGATTTGACTTCCTTTCGAATTATTTATAAATAAGGTTTTAATATATAAGTTTCTTTAAGAAAATAGTTTCTATAAGAATGATAAAAACGAAAAGAAGGCAATAAATGTATTCCTTTGCTGAGAAGATTTGATTTGTGCGAAAGGTTTTCTTTCAGTCACTTTTCTCTGTTCCCACTTCTTGTCTTCTCTAGGGACGCTTCGATCTCTAACTTCGTTATCCAGAAACTCGCTCAACAGACCGAATTTAACAAATAGGTGCTTTAGATGAGGTCATATGAAGGTCAATCTATTATGAGGATGCACTCGAACAATGTTAACACGTTGAAGAGAAACTAAAACAAATCTTCTTAATTAAGTAGTTTTAGGCTTTCAAAGGAAATAGCAAATACATGAACTGATTTAATTACCATTATTTTAAGGATTAACTGAATACAATTTCTCTTTCTTTAAAAAATCTATATTGCTCTTAAAGATATACACTTTTGTTAATACTTGGTCTATTTTCTAGTCTTGATCTATTAATTTGTTTACAGTATATAACTGGGGCATGTATTGAAATCATTGTTTTGGCTTCGTATTTCTTTGTCTACAATATTTTCAGAAAAATCTTCAATAATTTAATATGTTTCTTTCAGTTTCATACTTAAAAATCTATCTGATCTAACAAACATTCTCATAAAGAAAACTTAAAGACCAAAAATCTTCTTCTTTAAGGATTTCTGAAGTATTAAATTCCACGAATTATTGAATACTTTGACCTATATATGTATAGAATTATATACTCTTATATTTTTATTCTTCTTTATGATTTCTGTTAGCTGAAGAAGGTGTAGAAATAATTATATCTTTACACTTAATATTGATTCTAAGTTAAAGTAATAAAACAACTCACATAACAAGGTGTTTGATGTCAAAGCGGATATATAATCTCATAAATTAGCATTAATTGGAATTCCTTTTTATGTTTAGATTCTTGCTCTTTCTCTATTAAGGTGATAAGGTTATTTGCAACATCTAAAAAGGTTTGAATCCTGGGAGGTTAGCGAACTTTGCTTGACATCATTTCCCAAGTAAATTCTTCATATCCTTAGTGTCACAGCCATTGCTTTAATCTTCCCACTACCAAATGGGATCTGTTATTAACCTCTATGGAGTCACTTCTATCTAGTTAGAAATTTATCCACAGCTTAATATCATTTCGTACTTTAACCTTAACAATTAATCTATTAATGATTACAGAATCACTGTCTATATTGCATTTCCTTCTTCTCCCTTACATCCAGAATATATATAAGTATATATTTATTTAATGCATTATCTTTATATAATAAGATATAAAATAAATTAAAATATATAAAGATTGAAGTGAATTTTTGCGGGAAAAAAAAAATAATCTTTAAGAATTGTTTTCAATGGGACTATTCACTTAAGCTATTATATTGCTTTCAGGAAATTTCCCTCATCGTGCATACGTCCCATATCTCACCAGTAAGTAATCTAGAGCGCAGGCGTACTTGTTGCGGCTTTATACGGTCGAAAACGTTACCGGAGCAACCGTCATTCACATCTTCCCCCTTACCTATCTTTGCAAATAACCATAAACAACGGCTAATTCGGACATATAGGGACTTGTGACGGAATCGCTCTTCCGGTAACGTTTATATTGACCCCATTGTATACAGTCTACGAGAGAGGATTTGTGTCGATAGCTTTCTAGTATCATTCGATATATGATTGGAAATTGTCAGCCTGTATAATCACTTAATCAATCTGCTCCGTGGCGTGAACGGAATAAGTTATTAAATATATACGTGCTTATTGCTCTTACCTAAAAAAATAAGGTCTCTTGTAGATATGTTACTGCTTAGAAAATGATATTTTCTTTATAAATATATTAATGGTATTAACATTAGGGAAATGATAAGATGCAGGAAAATGTCACTTTCCTGCTATTCACGTTGTTATGAGTGGTAATAAGGTTAATGATTATAAGACTTAGTCATATTACTTGATAGAAAAGTTATGTAATTGTATTGTACTAAGAGAGATATAAGTAATAGGAATCATTATAAAAAATTCTATTGATTTTAAAGATAAATAACGATAGAAAATTAATATTTTTTTTTACATAGAAAAATGGCGAAAATAATTTTCTTAAAGTAATATCAGTGAGGATACCTCTTGATTTAGAGAAAAATCTTCATCGGATTCAAATTTCTGATTAGAAAATGTTTTTAGTTTAAAAGCATAGAATTTCTTTTTATTGCTAAGAAATTAACTATTCTTTAAAAAGTATCGAGAATTGATATTTATTATTGTAATAGAATACGTAAACAAATGAGCAATATGTGGTATTAGAGAGGTTAAAAAAAATCGAGAATCTTTAGCTTTAATTTTAGATAGTTTAGAGATTATTTTGAAATTTTTATAATGTTTTTTTATGTATATTTTATGAAGAAAATAACAGAAAAGAAAGTACAATTCAGAATCACTCATAGAACGAATGAAATATTGGAAAGGATTATGCAAGAAAGATGCAAATAGGAGTTGACGTTGTTTCATTCTGAACTTTTCTGTATTTTCTTTTGAGATTTGAAATGATAAAAAAAAGAAACGAAAATAAGATTTATTTTTGCGGAATCAAATGCAAATTAAGCATTAAAAAATATTTGATAGATGAAATTAGAATTTTTTTTAATTTCTTTTTAATTTTAAAATATTATAAGTATGATTATTTTCATTCTTCTTCTTCAGAAAGATTTACGATGATATTTTATCTTTGAAAGAAAATTTAAAAAAAAAAAAAATTAGAATATCTTCAGATTAATAATTGAAAACTGCATGTAACTAAAGCAACATTAATTAAGAAAAGAATTGAACGAACGTTTCAAGTAAAACAATCTTCAAATTTATCATCAAAAACGAGTAATTGGGGGAAGAGAGAGAAGAAACAATTGTAAAATTAAAATTCCTCTTTTGATCTGGCTATCAATTATAGGATAAAGGAAATTCGAATATAAAACTGAAATTATGAATATTAAACTTTGAAGAGTTAAAAAAAAAAAAAAAGAAAATGTAAAGAAATAATAACAAAAATTGATGAAAATGTTTTCTTGATTCTACATTTACATTCGAAATACGTAATTTTTAAAAAATACTACACATAATTTTGTATTATTATTTAATCAAGCATTAAAATTTACTTTAATTATATACATATATATATATATATATATAATTAAATAGTATTAAGCCCCAGTTTTAGTTATAAACTTTGTTTTATTTTTAAAACAAAGAATAAGTCAATTAGTTTCTTTTTCTTTAAGCTTATTTGACTAGGAGAAGAGTTTTTCCACCTGGCATCATTGTTCGAAGACTATTTGACAGATAACCATTTTGTCTTCATCCAGAACTTCCTCACATGGCCAGAAATGGCATGTGACTATTATTCATGATCAACCACTGCATTCTTCATAGACCGTTTTCATAACACTAACCCAAAATTTATAGATCCATAAGTCTGAAGATAGGCGACAAAACTGGTTTTCACTCTTCTTTGATAAACCGACTTAAAAAAAATGCTATTTATTTTATACATAATGGCGATTAAATATTCAAACTGTCTAACGTTTTAATATTCTTTTTTTTTTTTATATAAATTTATTCGGTGTATTAAATCAAAATCTTTTTGACTAAAATATTATTCTTCCGATAAAATATAATTAGTGTAGAGAATAATTAAGTATTTCTACTGACCTATTTTCTGTTTATAATCTTATCACCGTGAAGTACACCGAAGAGTTTAATTTATTCGTTTAAGAATTGGACTATGAAATGATACGAGTGATTGAAAATTCTTTCTTTTTTTTTTTTTTACAAGTGGATAACCGTTTATCCGGTAGTCATTTTAAAAGAGGAGAGAGAGAGAGAGACTTTGTCCTCTTATTTCCTCGTGTTATGTGGCGGAAGAATTTAACAGTTGGATAATTTTCCTCCTGACTTTCGTCATTGCTCAGATAGTAATTTTCTCTTTGTCGCTTTAAGTTCGAAAATTTTATGGATCGTCTCCTCCTTCACTTTTCTATTATTTTTCTNACACTGTTGATAATTCCGTTTTATATGAATTCCATGTTGTACGAGTCACTTAGATTTTACAAATACGTATGCCGGGCTGTGAACGGCTCACGTATTTGTAAAATCTAAGTGACTCGTACAACATGGAATTTATATAAAACGGAATTATCAACAGTGTTATAGGGGTGGTCTACTGTATATAGTCATTTTATATTAATTGACTTATCATTAATATGTAATTTGATTAAATTTGGAGAAGTATTTACAAAATATTTTTCACAAAACTTCCAGTTAGTCCGATAAAAATAATAATCTCAACATAAAATCAATAATAATTATAAAAAAATAATAAAGAAATAAGGAATTATTATAATGTTTCCATTATTTAACTAAAGAATCTAACTCTTTTAATTTGTTCTTAATTCGTATAGTAACACATAATACGCATTAATATATGAAAAATGAGATTATAAAAAATCATAAATTAGACATTTAGATATTTGTAAAGAAGATTGTGAGAGTGTAACTCCCTTTCCCATTTGATTTAATTAAACCTGCTTTATAAACCATACCAGCCTCATTTATTGTAATTCCGCACTTTCCAAGATCGTTAATCCTTTTTTAAATGATATTAATTGAAAAAAATAAGTAAACAACAAGTTAATTTTCTTCAAACCATTTCCCAAAGGAAATTCTCTGTTAAAAAAAAAAGAAAGCAAATCTCCAATATAGAGATGGTTTTTTTTTTATTTTTTTGCATTGTTAATTCTGTTAGTTTCTCCTCTTTGTTCTCTTTCTCAAACAGTTTACATTATATAATGAATTTATTGAATAAAAATTTGATAAAATCCACCCGAAAATCTTAATTATCGAAATGCCTTTATTTCAGTTTCTTTTATTAATATTTAGACGTCATTTATTATTAAATTTTTAATCTACTTCAAGCTTGATCCATAATGATTTAATCAGCATGAATCCACTTTTGAAAATCACATTCTTTTCGGATTAATAAAATTATATTTTAAAGTAATGTTTTGTTATTTTTTCTGTAATAATAATAATAAAAAAGAAATTGTTTTCTTTATGAATTGATTTTTATCTTCCTTTCAAATACATTCATTTCTATAATGAATTTAAATATGGATGGAATTATATATAAAATTCTATAATAAAAATAAGTTTTAATAAATTAAAGGATCCTGGATATTAGAAAGAATAAAAAGATCAAGGATACTCTCTAAATTTATTCTAAAATCCTCATTTAAATGAAGCTTTATGGAGACATCTCGACAAATTCACTAAGAATTAAAGATGCGATTTACAATGAGAAGATATTTTTAATTCTTTAAAATTTTAAAAAGACGAAGAGCCAAGTAATACATTCTCCTATCTTCCTTTTTTTTTTCTAAGCGCCATTATTTCTACATTTTATCTTTAAAGAACCTTTTAGACACGACTTTAGCATCTTCTATCAATATTATAATAGCATCTATGAATGAATATTCTCGGTAATTTTGTTCAATCATTCTTATTTCGTGAGCAGAATAGTAATTTTAATCCTTCTTCGACTATTTATGCATATTCTTATGGATTATCATTGCTTAAAACAGTTGTAGGAAACACTTCTAAGCTCCTAACATACGATATATTAGACGTATGAGTTAGACATTAATAAACTTTTACTCTGTTACCAAGTTTGTTCGGAAATTTCTAATTAATTTTTAATTATTCGTAACATCTGTTACACGTTCTCCGCATCACCGCTAGATTAAAAAAAAATATAATAATAATAATAATAAAATTTCATAGATATATTGTTTCTCTATGAGATAGCTATTAAAATATTTATTATATTCCTATTTAATTCATATAATTTTATCATATCTTTAAAAAAAATCGCTCGTTATTCCATAAAATTATCATGATAAACACATTTATATTTGAAATTATATAAAGTAAGCAGAGCATTGCTGTTTACCTATAGATTTATACGTAATATAGAATATTATATATTAAAAATCGATATATTTAAAACAGATCATCTTACTAATAATTCAACATGCAACAGAAACTAATAATACTTATTACCATGTTACAAAATTACTAATAACATAATAATTTATATACATAAAACTCCAATTCTTGAATTATTTTAAGCAAAAATTCTTTTTCTACGTTATTAATATATAAAAGTAATAAAGGCGAAATTAATTTCGTTCCGATATGCACCAATAAATCTCATTTCAAAACTTATATAACTGTATAGATTTATACTTATACTAAATTAATAAAGAGTATCATTAACATTACTGATGTTATATTTTAAGCTTAAGTTATTTATTTAATGGCATTACTAAGTATGTTGTGCTATGTCTTATAGCGAGAAAATTAAATAAAGTTTATGTAAAACGATG